AATGTTTTATTATGACAGATTAAAAAAAACGAATGAAATAATGATAGAAATAATGTCTTCTGTATTAGAAAAATAAATATATAAATAATAAATAACTAAAAAATGCCTCCAAATGTAACAAAAAATAGCTCTCACAAACTTACAAAAACGAACTAACAAAATCTATTTATGTCTTTAGTTTTCATTCTCTTTATCTTGTTTTTCTTCCTCGTCCACCTTGTTTGCCCATCTATATTTTTAAACCAGGACATTTTCATCACTTAAAAACAGTCAGGACAGGACGTGGAAACAGGACATATATAACGCAAAGTTGAGATGTTGCCCAGAGATGAACAGATGCACAAGAGACGAGAGTTGTCGTATTTCCCCGCGTTTAATAAAACCATTCAAACGTTACACTCGTCCTCATACATGGGGATCGAGCGAGAAAAAAAAAACACAAACAAACATCTGGTCACAATAGAAAAATAAAAGAAAGAATACAAAGAGTCGGCAGAGCGGTTCTCCTCTCCTCACTTGTCAAAATCTAACTGACACTATACGCACACTATGCGCAGTTCTCATCTCAACTCAGATTTCTATAAAGCACAAAGTGACCATTTTACACATGTCCCGGGAAAACAGGACTGTTGGTCACCATATACTATACTAATATTACAGAAATACTAATATAAATATTATCATATAGCTCATTATGCTCCGAGACCAGCAGCTCAACATTCATCTTGCACGTAGGTATCTTATCTCTTCTTCGCCGTGTGCTCGGCAAGACCGTTTTGTGTTTGAGCGCCCCCAAGTTGTGTTTTACTGTAACTTCAGAAGTACCTGACACGTGAGCAAACCGGCCAATCTCGTTGGTCGGATAGGTTTTGACGCGGCGCGTCAAACCAAAAAAACGAACCCGAGGCGTTTTTTAAAAAATGACGCTTTTACGCGTGGCGTTTTTCGCGTCGGTGTGAACACTCACATTGGCGCCCATTGTTTAGTCACGAGGCGTTAAACGTCGACGAATAACGCGCGCGAAATTCGTCCCGGTGTGAACAGGCCTTTAGCTATCGAAATACATATTTTGTTTTAAAATATATTACACTACTGTTCAAACTTTTAGGATTGTTAAAGGGATAGTTCACTTTGAAATTAATTTTTGGTATGTTTTAGCTCACCTCAAGGGCATCCAAGATGTAGGTGTTTTTGTTTCCACAGTATTTTCAATTTTGATATTTTTCAATTTTGAGGTAAAACTTCCGAAATCTCTGTGTAAACGATGAGTGACGTACACACGCAAGCGATCACTTCCGGCGCATGCACAGAGCGAATCTCCGTGCCTTCAGATCAGTTGGACGTGGCTGTGGTTACACGAGGTAAAAACGATATAAATACTGTTGGTTTTCTCACACAAACCGCTCGTTTCGTGTCTTAGGCCATCAATGTGTACTTACGTTTACGAGTCATTAAATCATGTTTAATTTGGACTTCTCTGTGCATGCTTTTTGAGGTGGTGACCATAGACTTCCATTATATGACAGACAAAATGGTTTGACCAAAAAATATCAAAATTGAAAAATATTGTGGAAACAAAGACACCTACTGTACATCTTGGATGCCCTTGAGGTAAGCTAAAACATACCAAAAATTAATTTAAAGATTTAAAAAAAACCTGAAAATACAGAAAACACACATAAAATACATTAATAATGTTACAAAACATCTCTGTTCCAACTTCCAAATAAATACTGTATTACAGCATATTAGAACAATTTATCATTTTAATTTATTTATCTAAAGGATCATGTGATTGAAGACTGAAGTAAAAATTGGAATGATATTTTACAACATTACTGTTTTTACTGCATGTTTTTTTAATCAAATAAATGCAGCCTAGGTGAGCATACGAGACTTCATTCAGAAACATAAAAAATAGTAGACCTCAAACTTTTAAATGGTAGTGTTAGTTTTTTTAATATTATATCATATCAGCTTTAAAATCTAAATGCTACTGAATAGCCATATCCTGATTTAATTGAACTCCTTTTTCCCAAAGGAAGGTTTCATCAAAATTAGCTCACCTCTGCGGACAGATTTGTCTCCTAAGTAAACACACAAAATCATTTAATTGAAGCATTTTCTGCCTCTCTGTAATTGGACGATAAATCAGGCATCAACAAATGCACACACCAATTAGCCTCTTTATATGTAATTAAAACAGAACTTGCTCTTGTGCACCGACATAAATTTACCATTTGTGCTCTAAGAGGGAAAGTAATACAGGTTTAGAAAGACATGAGGATGAGTAAATGATGACAGAACTTTCATTTTCAGGTGTGCCATCCTTTCCAGAACCTGCTCACTTAGCTGAATTTTATCTTCAAGTAAAGTAGCACAGACTTTCCTTAATATAAAGTCTTGTGCTATAAAATGGGCCTGTCACAGGCTGTCATGTTCTTTTCTGTAATGATGGAGATCGCTGGGTGACAAATCACCTGCAGGTACGTTTGAAGCGGATCTTCAATATGTACATGGCAGAGATACGTTGAGTGTTCAGATTGATTTTTATGTCATTCCAGATGGAAGAATGATAAATGGAAACTCTCTCCTTTTATTGCATTTATAAATCTGGACAACAGACAAAGGCTCAAATGAATGTTTATATGGACATCACAATCTTTGAAAAGGCACTTAGAACAGCACACAATTTAAAAAAAAAAACTTTTTTGGATTTTCCCAGAGGATTTACAGCCATTGTTTGTTTGAGTCAGCATAAAAAAAACTATAAAACACTTAGCTTTAAGAGATGGGGCTATAAAACAGCCTCTATTTAGCAGTGCTGAAATAATAGCAGATACCCTCTGACACCAAATATATGAGTATTACATTCGGATATGAGTAATGCCCAAGCCATAAAGAGCTCAGCATCCCACGCTGCAGTGTAATATATGTCATAATGTCCGTGCTTTTGCTTTGCTTATTGTTCCTAAGGTGCTGCACATATATTTAGAGAGAAGGATGTAAAATGGAGTGAAAGCAACATATTTAACAGAGTGAAAGGTCACAGCTGTTTGTTATCAACCACCAGCCATCAGTCAGGGTTGTGCAGCACTAATAATTGAGTTGAGAAAGCTTCCTGAATTTGAGTTGAATTCATCTTGAAACATCCTTTTATGAATTAAAAACTCAAAACCAGGCCCTAATCATTATTAACAGACTACTGACATTGTAAATGATTGCCGCACGCTGTGTCTTTGTCTGTCCGAAACGCACTCATGCCGGCGGTGAAGGTCTATCCATCAAGCTGATGGTTTAGTGGCTGAAGATTGGAGGTAATTGTTTCTCAGGCTAGTGTGGTCATTAAGAGTGAGGTAGACAGCAGGAGAGAAAGCTGCACTCTTCCTTGCACCGAGACAGCATTTAAACTGCAGGTAAATACAGGCTTTTCACAGAGCTGCCTGATTTTGCTCAACAAACCCTCCATCAGTCCATCAACATGCTGAGATGCGAGGAACAGGTCTAGAACTGTCAAAAAAAACTGTTAAAAGTGTGTATGTGTGCATGATTGAGTACACCGGGACCGTGTGCTCAAAACAAGTGTTTTACATTTGTACTAGACAAGTGTAGAGCGCTCAATAGCACTCATTACTAGTGCTTGTTACTGCTGTTTGGATTTGAACAAACCCCCAAGTATTAAAGTTCAGCTCATCAACCATTATTTTGGCCAATGGATGGTACCTCAAATTAAGGCAGCATGTTGAAGAAAGGTACAGTATGATATTTCTTTTCAGACGTACTATTTGCATTTGCCACATGATGAAATGTGTCAAGCCACCTTTTCTATACTCCACCTTTGGAAAGATGAATGGTTATTTAAAATGGGTAATTTATGAAGAAGAAATGTGAAATTATTTTGGAATTTGGAGCTTTCTAGACTGAGAAAAGCAAGAAAATGTATTTTTGGCTTATGTGGATGAAAGACAACAACTCCCAGAATGCACTTGCTTCGCTGCCCAAGGAGGCCACGCCTACCGGTAACCGCGCAGTAGTTAAACAACAAGTCTAGGCCACTAGTGAGTCTCCGTGATGAGTCTGCCCAAAAATGTGTTTCGAGATCGGCCAAAATGTCCGGGATTCGGCTTTTGCGTTCTACAGTCGCCATTCAGTTTACTGTGGCGAGCAGGACGAGTGAGGGCCGCGTGGAGAACGACGCGAGGCCGGTGGCGTGATTACCGATGAGCGACACCTGTGAGACGTAAGTTACCGGTCTCGTATCTCTCACTGAGGAGCGGGAATTTTCTTAGCAATGTTAAAACGCACATCAACCGATCACTTTTTTAGCGATCACCAATCAGAATTAATTCAGTTAGATTGAAACAAAAGCAGTGCATGTAAACAATGAATGGCGACCGCAAAAAGCAAAAGCTGATTCCCGGACATGTCCGTGAAAAAGAGGACGGTAACCCCTAAAGTTACTACTCAGCTTTCTCCACAGAACAAGAGCCTGAAAGCGTAGCTTCCAAAAAAGATGGCTGACACTATGTGTAGTCCCAATCCTCCAAAATGCATCCGTCTGTGTATTCAGTACCTTCGTCCTTATTTTCAAAAAGTTTCTGCCGGTGAAATCAAACGCACTGGCACTGATCTGTGATAGGTCTGTTAGTGCATTAGGTCCAACCCCCTATGGGCGGGTTTGAAAGGGTGGGGACTAGTGCTTGTAGTCTTTACAGAAATCCCCCCCTCTTACACTTACTCCTACAAGGACGTAAAATGACGATTTTTGAAGTGAATAAGCAGATTTCTCTCGTCTCAGGCGAAAATGAGAGAGTGTTGCACGACCATTCAATAGTATAACTGAGTTTCCAACAATGGAAAATTTTAATGCAAATGGGTGGAGTGACCCTTTAAAAGGGGAAATAATGATTCAGTAATGATTCAAGTAATGATTCAAGTAAAGCAGCTCTAAAAAGACAACCTTACAAACTAAGAATAAATTTGCTGTGAGGGTACAGTACCTGTTCATTAACTCTGCTGTGGGATGGCCCGTGGTGGATCAGTATCTGGACTATGTCCACGTCACCTCTCCATGCGGCCAGATGCAGAGGAAAACAGCCCTTACTGTCAGCCACATTAGTAGTGGCTTCAAACTGCAACAACTTCAACACCACGTCCCTGAGACAAAGACAAATAAGAAAGATTTCACATTTTTTGTAATTGTGTGGGCAATTTTCATTCTTAAATAAAGAAAATCCCATAAATCTTCTGTAGTACTATATAACTTCGCAGGCACATTATGAAGGGGGTAATTGTGCTCTAATCCTAATAATACATAATTCATGCAAAATCCCTATCCCACTCTGGCCTCATTCTAACAGCAAGCATTTAAACCACTCAAAAACCTTAAACCAATCAAATTTCAACCCTGCTTTATAAATCAGCCTAATCTGACACCGTCCCATCCCATAAACCCCTCACTAATCAAATAAAACTCTAACCCCCCTAATATATCTGTTCTTAGACTCACAAACCCTGCCCTAATTGAACCTCACCCCAATTTCATAAAACCCGCCCTAATCTGACATCACACTCTTCTAATCCTGATGTATACGAGCTGGATTACACCTCTGGAATCTCAAGTAATCCTGACGTCTAGCGGTTTCCTTTTTTAAATCCATAACACCATGTTGGGAGGAACTGTGTGCAAAGCTTCCCAGCAAGCAATTTGGGTTTATTATAAGACTAAAACAAAAACTTGGCTAAAACAAGGCTAAAATATGAAAATGTAATAGACAGAGCCCAAGAATAGATGCACCGGCTATGCATAGAACATGTCAAAGAAATGAAACCAAACACCTTTTAATTGCTGTTGACTTTGCTTACATGATAGAATATCATACTGTACATCTCACAAGGTATTTTGGCAAAAACGACATGTAACCAAATTCAAGGTTAATTTGGCTAGAAGTGGGTTGCTCATAGCCAGACTACATCGGGTCTATAGTTATCCTAGATGGTGAAATGACGGATAGTGCTTGCTGGGATGTTAGGTGGGAGCGTTCATTCATTTGTTTGAGCATTAATTGATTTACACCTTGATTCAGCGGTTCACTTTGCAAGAACCTGTCAATGAATTAGAGAATATGAGTGCGTCACCTGTGTCCGTTTAGAGATGCGTGGTGCAGAGGTGTGTATCCTGAGCCGTCTGCACAGTTCACATTGAGGCCTCTCCACATGCTGCAGAGGAGAAGAGATATTTTTCAGTACAGTATCAGTAAACACAAAAAAGACATCAATGCAAAACTACACCTACAACAAGCATATTTCTCATGAGTTATTTCTTTAAAGACCTGATCTGAGAGCTGATGATGCAGAGATTGTGTATACTACACTCATGCCAAGAATGCTATGAGACTCTCCCGTTTCTCACGTTCTCCAGAGGACCTTAAATGCTGCTTAGAGCACACACACACACACACACACGTTTGCCTCAATATCTAAATGGGGAAATACCACTGAACATGGGTTTTCACACTTTTTCTTGTTTAAGAAGAGGAACTTCCACAAAACTGTTATTAGTTATTTTTTAATCATTATAAACATATTTAATACCTTCAGTTAACACATTAAGTATGATAGCCCTAAAAAAGTAGTATTATTTACAAACTATTGTATTATAGTATTTATAGTATGTCCTCAAGAGAGGTTTTTGTCAGATTTAGCTACATTTTTAATTTTGAAATCTTGCAAATAAATCAATAATTACATACATACTGGTGGCAGAAAAAAACATCATTCATCATCCAATGAATTTTTGCACTGTCATTCATATTCCAATCATAGAATAAACAGAAAGCACATCGTGTTCACACTATGAGACTTTGTCATATGAGAGATTGTGGTATAAAGATGGCTGATTTCACTGTAAAAAAATATTGTTGGTTTAACTTAAAAATAAGTAACCTGGTTGCCTTAAAATTTTAACTTGATTGGACAGGGAAAAAGTGAGTTAATACAAAGGAGATTAATTTAATCATCAGAAACTCAAAATAATAAGTTATCTCAACTAAACAAATTATTTAAGTTGATTTGACAAAAGAAAAAATGTTGTGATAACAAATCTTGAAAATATTTTTTTACAGTGTAGATAGATGCTACTGCAAGTAATACTTTAAGATACTTTCTCTCTATTTCACACACACGTTGGGTTTCCATGTTTAATAGGGTCATTCTGATTTTTATACTGCACAAACTGTATATTCTAACACCTAAACCCCTAAAAATGTCCATCCTATCCGATCCATTTTAAATTTTTCAAAAAACATAATTTAGTATGATTTATATGTTGTTTTCCTGATGTGGACCAAACAAGTCCATAACCATGAGGAGTCAATAGTGCTGATGTCTAGACTGATAAGTAGACTCACCCTAGACAGAGATGAGGACAACCACGACCCATGATATGACTCACAACATGACTGACCAATCACAGGACAACAGGAAACACACTCACTCACTCATTCTCACACACACACACACACACACACACACAGTGTCCCATGCTGCCATAAATAGACATTCCAAAAGTCTGCAGAAACAACATTAGACAGAGGAGCATGAGAAAACTTCTTAAGCTAGTTCTGTGGACAACAACTGAGAGTGTGTGAGACTATGAGAGGGAACCAGAAATATCGGGACCCTTTAAAGGAGTATTTTGGGTTCAGTGTAACTCAACACACCATAGAAAATCATTCTGACTCACCCCTCAATAAATTCTATTTATTAATTGACAATTGGCTTTATGCACAGCTGCACTACTTCCTGAACTTCAGCCAGCTCCTTGTTTCCTGTCTACCATTATTGGACAAACTTGATTAATTCAGGTGTGTCTGATTATTGTTGCCGTGACTACTGAGGTCAGGCGCACCTGAATTAATCAATTTGTCCAATAATGGCAGACAGGATACGAGGAGCTGGCTGAAATTCAGGAAGTAGTGAAGCTGTGCATAAAGCCAATTCAGGATGTTAATATAAAAAAATGATTAATATAAATTTAAAACATTTTATTTTTCTATTAATCTTAATCGAAGATATATATTGAATTATGTCACCGTCTCTTATATGCTCATCAAGCCAAAAATACAATGATATTGCAAAATATTATTTCAATTTAAAATAACTGTTTTCTATTTTAATATATTTTTAAAAGTGCCACATGATCCTTCAGAAAACATTTTAATATGATTGGGCTAAAAATACATTTAGTCTTATTATCAATGTTGTAAATAGTTGTGCTGCTTAATACTGTATTTTTGTGGAAACTGGAAACAAAAATATTTTTTTTCCAGGATTATTTGATGAATATAAAAAATATATAAATATTTGGTAACATTAACAATGTCTTAACTGTCACTTTTAATCAACTGAATTAATTCATTTTCCAAACTTGCGTACTAGTGTACTTTAAGAAAGTTTAATGAGGATAGTTGTATGACATTTAGTTATATTAAATATTATGACTATTATTATACTTATGACACATATTAAATAGGACAAACATCATTTTCCCATTATACTGCAAGTGTCGTTTTGCAAATTTTGTTTGCGTTAATAAAAAAAAGGTACATGTCAAAATCATTTCTGTGGCAATAAGCCACCTTCAAAGCTGAACTTATACTGAACCCGTAACATTCCTTGAACCTCCGGTATACAAAGCACGTTCTTACACCATCAAACATCAACCTGAGTGTCTATCAATCAAACGATCGGCGAAAAACCCCTCAGAAATTCAGTTTCATTCCAAACGGCTGCTTTTACTCCACACACATATCATGCGTTTTAGCATTAGTTTGCTGATGTGAAGGACCTTTGTGCGGTACTACGCATCAAAGGAACAACAGAGAAGATACAAATTGAGTTAGTTAAAAGCATTAGATCGAGCTGCAGTGCAAAACAAGGCCGTTCCTCAACGGATTAGGCAACTATGCAGGGTATTTCCTCCACATAATGAGCATCAACTACGTCAAATGTTTATTCAGCAGAGGTCACAGTCTGCGGCAGTGTGACCGTGATATGGCTGGATGAACATCTCATGCTGATATTTCTGGTGAGACAGAAGGATTGAGATAAAAGTATAATATTGTGACAAACGGGAATCTAAGCATCATTTGTCTCTCTTGCGCTCAAACTCAGAGCGAGGGAAAGCCCTGCCTTTGCTGTGAGCGTATGACTCATCCTGTGTGTGGAGAGCACCGGGGTGCTGCACTGAATACAGTATATCAGTATCACCCAACCTGACACACACACACACAACTAATTGGCATAGCTGCACACTCTTGAGTGGCTGGAAGCGCATGAGGGAGGGTTATTGAAGAGGAGATATGAATAGACGTAGAGAGAGAGAGAGAGCTCTGACTGAGAATTGACAACTGCTCTCTAGACACACAGGCACAACTTAAAATATCTCGCACACACAAACCACACCAAAAAACACTAACATTATTTTATACAAAAATACTTTTAAGGATTTGTGTGCCTCTTACACTCACTAAGGCTGCATATACGTGATCAAAAAAACAGTGATGTTATGAAATATTATTACAAGTTAAAATAACTATTTTCTATTTTAATACATTTTAAAACGTATATTAGTGCTGTGATGCGAAGATGAATTTTCAGCATCATAACTCACATGATCTTTCAGAAATCATTCTTATATGCTGATTTGCTGCTCAAAAAAATTCTTATTATTATCAATGTTGAGTTGCATGTTGATTCTTTGATGAATAAAAACAGCATTTATTTCAAATAGGAATCTTTTGTAGTATAAATGTGTCACATTTGATCAATTTAATGCATCCTTGCTGGATTAAAGTATTACTGACTTTCAAAAAAAAAAAATCGACTGTCCTCAAACTTTTGAAAAGTAGTTATTTTTTGAAAGAAATGTGAGTGGCGCACAGACATTTCATGTCATAAACGGCTTGATCGTTCATTCATTCACTGTTGACTACAGTACATTGTGAATGTCACACACACACGTCGTTGTTTGTATGACGTAACAAACATGTTGAAACCTAAATGACACAAAAAATCTAGTTGACAACCAAATCTGAACATTCTGTTGTTTACAAAGTGAAAGTTGCGACTGTTGCGTGCATGAAGTATGAAGATGTATGTAAATGGGACATGGCCATAAAATCAAAAACTCATGACAATCCCATGACGGTGCAGGACATGTTACTGTAAGATTTACCATTGATTGACATTGACCAACAGAAAGCTTGGACTGTTGTTAGTTGATTGTCTGTGCAATCTGTGCTTCGTTCTTCATCTGCAATATATTGATAATAGACAATAGAACTTTTTTTGCCATGAAATTTTGTTAATGTAACCACACTACTACACAACAAAGTGTAATACTTATAAAAGTAACACACAAGTACACACTCTTAACATCTTAACATTTATTTATTTATTTTTTTAAACGAAACAAAGCAAAACATAAGGCTTCCTGCATCCTTATTGGTCGATAGGCCCATATTGTTTGAAGTGGCTCAATCAGATTGTGCGTCAGATTGACTGGCAAGGTCTGCCGATGCCCCTTTCCTTTCATTTCCACTGGAGGATAATTAAAACCAGACACGAGCAATCAATAACTGCAACGTACCCTGAGGGCACAGGAAATGCACTGATGTCATTGATTCTCCCATGAGCCCTCTGAGTGTTATTGGGCGTGTGTGGCCTCCTTATAAGATATCACAGACATACGAACACGCTCAACAAAGTCTGGCATGCCTCAAGATCTTTCATATCTACCTGCAGTCTGTTTCATAACAAGCAGCCATTTCTTAGTAAAATCTAATTACAGAAAATCGCTTTGATTAATGATAGGGCAATTTGTTGTTACATACATCATGAGTTCGGGAAACCTGACACGAACTCACGCACACTCGGCTAATGCATCAACCCACGAGGAAAGTTTCTACGTCTGCGTGTGAATGTGTTAAACAGATTTTGTATATCCAGTGCTGCCAAACGATCTGAGCAGAAGCCGAATTTAGATTTTAAGTTTAACAAGCTGCTCTCCACGTAAGCAAAGCTTAATCGGAAAGCCCAACACAAGGCAGCAGTATGAATCCCTCAGGCCTACCACAGTCTTAATCTCTACTTGAAGGACAAACAATGACTAAATGATACACAAGCAAGCATGTAGTGAGAACAAAGTGTGCTTGTGA